TATACTTATATCATTTATACATCAAGATCAAACATTACTAAAGTTATCCAAGTCTAAAGCTCCCACTTGCGGCAATTCCTTTAATACGACGACGAGTCATGGGAGGAGCCATTCCCACACCGCTCACATCCTTCACCAAACCACGCAATGGAGCAGCTTCAGGTCCGGCCGCGGTAGCAATACCGTCTAGAAGTCCGGAAGTAATCGGCTTCCAATTTGTTTTGAGAAAGTTCCACGCAGCACTAGCGCCTTTTTTAATACCGTTCCAAAGATTGCCCCAGAAGCCAGAGCCACTAAGTCCTGATTGATGAGTACGCAGAACTTCTCCGTGAGACATATGTAACGTCGTCCCTTTGCCAGATTCGTAAGCCTTTACAAGTTTCTTGTAATTTTCAGGATGGAAATAATGCGAGTGGCCTTTGTTCAATTGAGAATGACTTAATCGGACGGGTTTGCCATGTAGGACTTTAACAGCCTGTGCGTGGCTCAAATCGACAGCAAATTCCTTATACATTTCTAAATTGAATATCTGGATTACTTATATACAGAGCGAGAGACAAAAATGTCAAAGGTTAATAAATCTAAAACACTCAGTCTGGATGAAATTAAAAATATTATCACTCGTGATATTAGGTTGGGAAGCGAACACGATAATCTATCGGACACTACGGTAAATCTATACACTAGACAACTAATCAAGCTTTACAAGGCCGGCGTTGCGAAACAACAATGGTCTCCAGATGAATTCATATCCAACATCCATTATCCAATGAAATATGATGACGCTTCGTTTCAAAAGACATTCAAGGTTCAGAACTCTAGCATTATTGCACTACTAATGAGCATCTATACAAGCAAAGAGAGTCTCATACTGACACTAAACGCCATGTGCAAAATGGTTAAAAACAGATTTCGCGATGCATTCGGATATTACAATGCGATTCGAAAGGAACTGAGTAAGCAAAACAAAGCCGCAAAGCTGGACAACGAACTGACGCCAGAGGAAGAGAAGAAGTACATCAGCTATGAAGAGCTAATGTCCGTCCCTGGTAAAGTTCATAAGGTGCTCACTGAAACGTACGGCAAAGTATTTCTATCGCGATCCGAGTTTGACGAGCTGGCCAAAGCTAAGAGGACTGAGTACTTGAAGCTCGTATTTGATTACATCACACTGTGGTTGAACGTGCATTATCCACTTCGTTTGGTATGGCCGAGCGTTCTCCTCGCTCCAGAGGAGGGAGCTAACGATCTTCAAGGTAATACATTACATTTGAACGATTTTAAGAATGTTCGACTAATGGGACCGCAAACGATTCAGTTAGATAGTACGACGATGAGCTTGATCAAGTCATATCTCGACTTCTTGACTAATACTATTGGAGAGCAGCCTAGTAACCTACTGTGGCGCATTTTCAATCGACAGCCAGGCGAGTATGATTATACCAATTCGAGCAATAGCTTTAGTCAGGTTCTTTCGAAGCTCTTTGTAAAGTACAATGGAAAGCCAATGTCAATGAATATGATCCGGCACATTGCTGAGTCTCATTTGATCCAATCGCCAGCATATGCTAAACTCACCAATCGCGAGAAGAACGATCTTCATGCAAAACTACTCCACAGCACCATGGCCGCTAACACGAGTTACAACAAGATTGCAAACCGAGCGAATGCTTCTGAAGTATCCTTTGAACCAGACGATTCATACGACCAAGCGCCAGAGTCTCCTGCAAAGCCCGCTGTAACACCTGTAAGCAGACCTAAAGACCGTCGGGAACGCATATTCCATGGCGCTTTCACACCTACTGGCAGCGATAAGACACTCGAGATTGACATCTTTGAGAAATAATTTATTTGATATAACATACAAAGCGATCATGGAGCAAAAACAAAAGAGAACATATCGCAAAGCTGGTCCATTCCATGTGGAATTTCATGGACTTCAAGCTTGCTTACGAAGTGACAAATCTAAAGTAAATATCAAAACAATGCTAGTATCTCATGCATTCGTTGATCTCTGGTGGCTGATTGTAGAAGGTAGGCAACAATACGATAAGGCGTTGTTTGACCAACTCGACGAGCACGA